TTGGTAATATGGCGACATTAAAACTGCATGTGCGTTCAAGGGCTCTAGCTAGCTTGCGTGCGTGGAGCATTTTACGATTTGTTGGACTTTCAAATCAGTTTTGGTCGCCAGGTTAAACATTAGTTATGCAGACTGAACTAGATTGAAGTAACTGCTTCCTATTTCTTGTTTACTTAACCCACGAATTAGAGCTCTGGAATTTTTTAAACCGCATAACATTGCACCCTATATTTAGGTTTACACGGGGAAGGTAAATTTCCCGTTTCGCCGTCAATTGAGATATTTCCATAACACGACTTTAAACACCACCTATTTTTTCCTAACGGGACCATGATAGAGCAGTAGGTTAACGTGCGCGTATAATTGCCGTACGACAATAGCTACGTGTGTGTGTGGTTTTCCTGTCTTCACGCCTACCCAGCTGATATGTGAGTACATGGCGCCGTAATAGCCGATGAGCTAGCTGGCTAGCTGCCTGTAGGCATGCCGCCCCGTGTCCTTGTGTGTGTGAGTGCGTGCGTGCGTGCGTGTGTGTGTGCGCGCGTGTGTGTGTGTGCGGATGTGTCTTTATGTATGTGTGTGTTTTTGTGTATGCGTGTGTCTCCACGTGCGTGTGTGCTGCCGCTGCCGCTGCCGGTCTGCGTAGGTGGCTCACCGCGCTAAGGTAAGGAAGCCACACAGCGCCCGTTCGGCCGTAATTAAGCTCTAGCGACGTCGCCATCACGACGGGATTGATCCGCTTCATGGTTGCCGCTGCTGCTGCCGCTACGGCTACGGCTACTACTGCTGCTGCTACTGCTGCTACTGCTGCTGATACTGCTACTGCTGATGCTGCTGCTACTGCTGCTACTGCTACTACTGCTGCTACTGCTGCTTCTACTGCTGCTGCTACTGCTGCTACTGCTACTACTGCTACTACTGCTACTACTGCTACTGCTGCTGCTGCTGCTGCTGCTGCTGCTGCTACTACTGCTACTGCTACTGCTACTGCTTCTATTGCTGCTGCTACTGCTGCTACTGCTACTGCTACTACTATTGCTGCTGCTGCTGCTGCTGCTACTACTACTACTGTTGCTACTACTGCTGCTACTGCTACTGTGCTTGCTTGCTGCTGCTGCTGCTACTGCTACGCTACTACTGCTGCTGCTGCTGATGCTGCTCTACTACTGCTGCTTCTGCTGCTGCCCTACTGCTGCTACTATGTTGCCTACTACTGCTTAGCTACTGCCTGCCTCGCGTACTTGCTACTGACTATTGCTGCACTGCTGCTGGCTTGCTGCTGCCTGCTGCTGCCTGCTGCTACTACTAACTACTGTTGCTACTTACTGCCTGCTACGCTGCTGCTGCTGCGACTACTATCTTGCTGCTGCTTGCTGCTGCCTGATGCTGTTGCAGCTACTTGCTGATGCTCGTTCGCAGCTACTGCTGCTACCTGCTGCTACTGCTGCGTACTGCTGCCTTAGCTGCTGCTTACTGCCTGCTACTGCTGCTACTTGCTGCGCTACTGCACTGCTACTGCTGCTACTGCTGCTGCTACTACTGCGGCTGCTAGTGCTACTGCTACTGCTGCTACTGCTGCTGCTACTGCTGCTGCTACCACCGATCGGCCATCAATTCGATCCTTGTAAGCCGGGGCGCCGGGCATGTTTGCAGAGCGGGGTGGGGTGTGTGGCAGGATATCGAGCGGGACAGGGGTTGGGTCTGAGGTATGGGTGGTGGATACACACGGTAGGGATACACGGTGATATAGGTACGGTCAATGGATTGGGGTAGTAGGAGTGTGGATATCTCGTAGTGGGGTATTGAGCATGAACTTGAAGGGGTTAGGGCCGGCGTGGAAGGGGGACTCGGCGTGGATTCAAACATGGGTCTGGCTCAGCAGGAGGTATATACCTCCTTCCCAGCCCAGACCCATGTTATATTGCAAACGAATATATATTATATTGCATGTTATATAGCAAAGAACGGGGGATAGGTCACGGGTTTACTGAGTAGAACAGGGATAAGCCGGAGGGAGGCGCCTATTGTAAAGGACGAGTATAGATCGAGGATGGAGGCAGTATTAAGTGAGGCGGGGATTATTAGGTCACGGGGGGATGCGGCGTGGGTAAACACTGGTCGGTAAGGGCCGCGTTGCTAAGCCCTAACACGGGCAGTGTGCTGTTACGCGGTGCAAGCGTGTTGCGCTTTGATTTCGCGCGGCGGTATGTCGCTTTATGTTGCCCGTGTGCAACGCTGATTCACGCCATTTACTCCAATCCCTTAAATAAACGAAGCCGATGTGAAAAAGAGGGATAGCCATAGTTCATCCCCTGTGTGTATTGAGAGAGAGAGAGGGGAGAGAGAGAGTTATACACATACACACACACACAAAGGGAAAGAGAGTTGCAGAAAGATTGAGAGAGAGAGAGAGAGAGAGAGAGTCGCGTGTGTGGGGCGCGCGGGCGGGGGCAGCGGAGGTCGCGGTTTAAGCTGCTGGAGTCATAATAGACACAGGAAGGATGTGTCAGCGCTGCGGGTTAGTGATCACCGGCACCTGGACCGACGGCTGTCGCCGAGATATATCGCGCGCGGATGCTCCTACTCCAGCGTGCATGCAGCAGCGGCAGCAGCGGCGCTTAAATCTCTACAATGGGCAGTACACAGCCGCTCAGCAGCGATCACACGATTCATGCGTCTGCGGCTCTTCTTTCCGCGGGAAGCTGCCGTTTACGAGGATTATCTGTCACGTGATAGCCGTGATATTGTGAGTGCATGATGCCTATTATTGCTCTAAATGCTTGCTCCTGTGTGTAAGTTATAAATCCCATTGGGGTCATGCTATGTTCAGCGCCGTATGTCGATGCTGGTATCATTATCTGTTGATTACTATTTCTGTGTGGTTTTTTGAGTTAATAGCGGTGGAATACAGTAAACCACTGAAACTAGTTTACAAAGAAAAAACGGAAACCATATATATACACACATTGTCAGCTATAACTAACAAAATATAAAAATATTAATATAAACCGAAACAATAAATAAAAAATATACTAAAAACACATAGTAATCATATATAACAATCCTAGCAACGATGGAATAGTCCGCCAGGATTAACAGTTTTATTAATATAACCCACCCACACTATTCAATGAAACATCCGCTATTGAATGTTAGTTAGCGTATTTCATTAAAGCGTAGGCTCACAGCGTAATAGCACACATACGTTGTGAAATACTGAGAAGACGAGATAATGGTCGTCAGGAAGTAGCGTACATCCGCAAACCCGTCTAAATAACGATAAAATATAAGAGGAGCCTTGCGCAGTCATATAACCGGCGGCTGTATTCTCCTGCGTGCTGTACGAATAAGTAGCAGCAATGGCACGTGTGCGTGCATGTATGTGTGTATGTGTGACACACACGCAGCCACGCCGCCGTACCACCACCACCTTCGCCTCCACCGCCAGCAGCAACAGCAACGGCACCATAACCACCACCACCACCATCATCATCATCATCATCATCATCATCATCGTCATCATCATCACCATCACCACCACCATCATCATCATATTCATCATCACCACCACCACCATCATCGTCATCATCATCACCATCACCACCACCACCACCATCATCATCATCGTCTTCATCATCACCACCACCACCACCACCATCATCATCATCATCATCATCATCACCATCACCGCCGCCAGCAGCAGCAGCAGCAGCAGCAGCAGCAGCATCTCGTTCCTCCCGCACGTCACTGTATGGCTCCCCACCACCTTCGTTCCTCGGCAGCAGCAGACGTCGCTCTAAAGACGGGCTTCACCGTTGGCAGCGCACCGAGTAACGCCGACGTTTACACATTCTCGCCTCGCTGCTTGCCTGCGCGTGGCCCTGACACAACCAAGCTACTGTACTTCGATTTGTTTGTAAGAGCCGCAGAGTTGTGTCTACTATCACACTCTATATTACACTCAGCGCGGCGGCAACCCCAGCATCCCAGCCCCCCCACGACTGCCGCTGATGCTGATGCTGATGCTACTACTCATACTATACTACGACGACAGCCGCTGCTGCTGCAGTTCGATAGTCGTTAGGCGGAACATTCCGCTAGTCGCGTGTAATTTTATCTAGCGTTACTGTTGATGGCAATTTTTTCACGGCATGTGCGCGAGCCGAAAATAACCGATAGCGGCAGCGGTCTCCGCGGGCACCATATGTTCGCTGCTCTCTCAAAACTATATAGCCTCATCATCATCATCGCCGTCGTGCCGTCGTTCGTGGCCACGCGTCAGCATCTGTAGCATCTGGCGGCCTTCTGACGGAGAGTCGTCACGTTGCTGCGGCGCGTGCCGCCGCTCTGCTGCTGACGGGGGTCGTCCTCGTGTTTTTTTTCGTATGCGTATATTACGCAGGTAGTTTTTTTTATGGCGGCCGTGATTAGCTGCATGCGGTATGCGGTGTTTGATTTCGACGGCTTATATTACGAAGCGAGCGTCGAGAGAAAGAAACGTGATATTCGCGCCGTCGCGCGCGTTAAACGTCGGCGTTGACGGGGCGTTTGCTCGTACGCACGCAGGCACGCACGCACACACGCACGCACGCACGCAGTGACCGGGTCGCTGTGTGGTTTACGCGCGCGATTTAACCTTATATTTAAGTGTCAGTGTGCAGCGTGAGCAATGGCGGCCGCTAGTGTTTGTTGCACATGAGCATTTCGACGGCATTTACAGGAAATTGTCGGCAATAATAGGTGAAAGAGAGTATAGAAACATTAAGACTTTGGTAGTAAATAGATTTTGTATTTATTTAGCATTATATTTGATTGAAACGCTCCAAGTGCCTGTGGTCGTCGTCATGCGATTGCTCACGTCGCCATGTATTCGCGATTATGACATCGTCGGAATGAACTTAGCGCGGGAAAATGTCGCACGCGCGCGCGTGGGCCGCGTGCGTGCTCATAAATAAAAATTCGTTGAAAATAATCTTGAATTTCTCTCGACATTTTTGCAGAGACTAGAATGGCCTGCAAACTCCGAGGACGTCAGCAAGTGTCTGAATAAAGGCAAGTCGGTGGTAAGTGGACTAAGTCACTCTTAGCATTACGGCGTGACGTGTGAGAATATTGTTATTGCGCGTACTACGTGACCCTCGCATCTTGGCGTGGCATGCGATGACGTGACACCGCTAGACGGGGGCGTCTGCACCGTCTGTCAACTTTCCGCTTTCATGCGAACGTGCGTTCAGATTTTATCGGAAACCTCGGCGTTTTCTAAACGCGATTCGTTTGTTAGCTTGCTGTAACCGTTGGGGGTATATAGGTGACGTACAGAGGCTGGCGTATATCTGTTTAGCTATTCTGTACGTACACAAAGGGAGCTTCGATAAAAATCTATTCCAGTTTCGAATAGATCCGACTTGTAGTTTCGTTTACTCGACTCGCGTCTTTCGCGCCGCGATCGGAATGAACTTGTTTCACAGAGCCGTAAGAAGCGAAAGTCGTGTCTAGTGGGCCGACGTACCGGATCAATGTCGGATAGACTCATCGAGATTGCTTCATCGTAGTCTGTCCGCAGGCAGAACCCGCGTGGCTGCTAGATTGCGGCGGCCACGAGATCCTGGTTACATCACTCGCGAATGAATATAAGCGGTCTCGATATCGCCGACTGGTTTTTTTGCCGAAGTTAATTCCACTTAAGCAGTCGCCCGGATTGATGGCTATCGGGCTTTGCTCGTATTACCATAAAAGCGAGAGCAGTGAGTGTGCGAGTTTGGTTAAAGCGAAGAAATTGAGTAAGTCGAAGGTGAAATAGCGCTGCTACTGCTGCCACTGCTGCTGCTGCTACCACGGGCGACCAGCTTTCATCAGCTAATGGTAGATTTCGATCAAAGCGCAGCTAGCACCGGTGTTGATGTTGGTACCACTTGCTGCGAGCATCACGCCCCGCTGATTTCCTTCTATAGGCTGGTATATAAGAAATAAGGAGCGCACAGACCGGCCTGTACTAGTTTGCCGTTACGGCTGTGGTTGTTGCAGTCGTGGCCGGAACTATGTGACCAGCGCGCGATAGCAAGCGGAAGCTAGAATAAGCGCGATGGACAGAGAAGAGAAATGAGAGGGGAAGGGATCGAGAACGAGAGAGAGAGAGAGAGAGAAGAGAGAGAAAGAGAAAGAGAAAGAAGAAATGAGAGGAGAAGAGATCTTGAGAAACGGAGAAATGGATGGAGAGAGAGATGGAGAGAGAGAGAGAGAGACGAAGAGAGAAAAAGAGAAAATGAGAGCGAGAAGGGATCGAGAGAACGAGAGAGAGAGAGAAGAGAGAGAGAAGAGGAGAGGAGAGAGAGAGAGGAGAAAGGAGAGAGGAGAAAGGAAGAAGAGAGAGAGGAGAAAGAGATGAGAGAGAAGGATGAGAACTGAGAGCGAGAGAGCGCAGAGAGAAGAGAGAGAAGAGAGAGAGAGAGAGAGAGAGAAAGAGAAATGAGAGGAGAAGGATCGAGAACGAGAGAGAGAGAGAGAGAGAGAGAGAGAGAGAGAGAGAGAGAGAGAGAGAGAGAGACAAGCAGTAGAAGGAGGCGAGCAGCTAGCGTGCGTGAGCGAAGCAGAGGAGAGAAATGAGAGGGGGGGATGATCACCACGAGTGGGAGAGCGAGGATGAGAATGAGAACAAAACAGAGCGACTGAAAGCGAAAGCAAGTGCTAATGGAAAGAGGGAGATATAGACGGGGAAGTTCCGAACGAAAGATGGAGAGAGCGAGGCGGGCAAACAGACAGGCAGACAGACGGACGGACGGGCGGACGGACGCACAGACAGACAGACAGACAGACGGAAGCACAGACAGACAGACAGACAGACAGACAGACAGACAGACAGACAGACAGACAGACAGACAGACAGCCAGGCAGGCAGACAAACAGAGACAGAGACAGAGACAGACACGGACAGATAAGCAGGCGGATCTAGATAGAGACAGTGACAGACAGATAAACAGGCAGACGGACGAACGAACAGGAGTGTATAGACGAACGAAAGGGACCGAGAGACGGGAGAGGGTGCGTTAGCCTCGCTGCGTCCTTCGACTAAGCGGTCGCGGTTTTACTAGTTCCGACACTACTCAAGCGGCGCAAAGTTCCTCCCACTGCATCTGTAAACTTACAGGCGAGGGGCTCTGCCGCGCTGTGGCGTGCACGGGCCGGCCGGTTTTAATGAGTTCATTAAATCTGCGCTGGCGCTCGCCGGGGACGTCGTAAATAAGACGTTTGTCATGGCTGCGCGTATACACGCACAGATCGACGCGGCCGATAAGAATGAGTTAAAAGATGCTAAGTGCGTGCGTGTGGATACGAGAGAGAGAAAGAGAGAGAGAGAGAGAGAGAGAGAGAGAGAGAGCGAGAGTGAGCCAGACATATTGAGAGTGTGCGCGCGAGAATGGCACAGAGTGACGGGCAGACAGGCAGACAAACAGACGGATGGATGGATGGACGGATGGATGGATGGACGGACAGACAGACATATAGACTGTTCACCTGCAACCCGTGCTGTCTATCTGAGCCATATTATGGCAATACCAATTACCACATCATACAGTACCAGTGCTGAGACCGCACTTTAATAATGAAGTCGGCGATAAAAGTTTCATTGCTTGCGCCGTGTCGCTTGCTTTGCGGAGAAACCACGCGCCCAGTTTTTCGATTTCGCCGACGATGTAACGAAAGTTTTTGAAAGCGCGGCCAGTGCTTGTGACGCGTGCCAGACATGCGAGCACTCGAGGGACTTGATTAAAGGAAAACGATTTAATGCTGGACGACTAGGGCGCCGGGTGAGTCTGCAGGTCTCGCTGGAATTTTTGAATATTTCTGTCGATTGAAGCGACGCATGGCGCGCACACATACTACGAATCGATGTTGATTCATCATTCCACACGCTATATGGCCGCCGTGTGTGTGATAGTAGTACTAGATAGCTGCGTGAACTGAGGCGCGAGCGACTGATCGGCGGATGGATAGACGGCCGAAGCTAGTGCTGAACGAGTAAACCGGGGAGATGCTTCCGAGGAGGAGGCGGTCGCAAGATGCACGAGTCGCACACAGTCGCACACAAAGAACGCACACAGTCTGCACGAAAGTAATAAGCATATATATATAGATGATGCCAGCGGCTTGTGACATTTTAAAATGATTTATTGTGGTTAGAGCCAGAGTTGGGTTTAGAAGCTGCTCCGTCTATCGCACATTTTCCAGAGAAAGCTGGCGGTTCCAAAACTTATGACTCCACTGCTGGTGGCTTCGCTGCTGGTTGTAGCTGGTAGAGCATTGGTCTAACTCAATAAAACTTCAGTCAATCGTAGCGATCATTCATCACCACTACTCGGTAGACACAGGTGCGCCTCTAGGAGCAACTAACTCTGTGCTAATCGAGGAAGCCCGCGCTGGTTCCACTCCCCCGGGGAGGGAGGGCGGAAATCCCAGTACAGAGGAGATACAGCACGTGTTTGTATTGAACACGGTCTCCTATGTGAGGCCTGCGGCAACTGTACGCGGGCTATAGTCCTAGAGCTAGTATAGTGCATGACCGAACAGCAGGGATATCGAGTAATGGCCCGATTAGCGCCACATGTACCCCGTTGTATGCAATTAATCCATTAGGAGATTATCCGGCCATTATTCCAATGTTAGATGTTGCGTAACTGTTACGTTCGCCCGCTGCTCTCTTTCTCTCTCTTCCTCTCCCCCCTCTCCCAGTGTATGTATAAGCTTGGGGTGGGAAGGCCATTACATCGCGTGTACGCACTCCCCCTTATGTAACAGCTGATATCTGTGCCACCCTAGCCTTCGCGTACAGTTATTAGCAGATCAATAGAGCTGGAGACAGTGACTCATGAACGTGTCTGTACCTCAACCGTCGTACTGCATGATTCGTCTGCAAAGGAAGAATCCGATCGGTCGCTTCCAGGGTGACTTGTTGCGTCTATTGTCCTAATTAGGGTTTATGCAAATTTTTAATATGCAAATTTCAATCATGTTTCGAATCGCTGCGGCCCCGTCGGGCAAAAATCGCTTGCTTAATCTTCAAAGCGATGCTTATATTAACGAGGTCGAGAGAAACTGAACTATCTAGTCCCCTCGATGTTCATTCATGCATATTAAGACGGTTAATATGTTGTATTAATTATTCGCTATGCTGTTAATGCGTAGGGCCTATTTGTTGTGATAAAAGCAGTGCATAATAGGAAAATTTATACTTAGTTTTACATGTGAATAATCTAATCAGTTAATTAAGCAAGTAATTAAAAATGTGAGGAGCGATTGCTAAATAATTAATGAGCAGGCAGATTTATTTTCTCACTTTAGTTTCTCTCATAACAATACAATAACAGAGATTAGATTTCCGTGGAAGATAATCGTTCATTTTTCATTCAGCTTCTTGTTTTAGCCAAAACGTAGGACAGCGTAGCGACTCTGATTTCGCCGTAACCGTATTACCGAAACAATCTTTCTAAAATCACTTGTACAAACAATCTGACGAGGCGACTTAGGACATGAGTTTGGCCTTTTTTGATAAAAAAAAATAACCCAGATAGTAGATTCCGGCTGCCCGCCGTTCGCAGCGGTTTTCTAGTGGAAACGCGAAATGATCTTGAACAGGAAGTGCCAAAAGACACGGGCCAGATTAATTATGGCGCGCACAAGAGATACCATTATACGCTTTTCTATCTTTCTATCGGTCGGCGTGTGCGTGCGTGCGTGCGTGCGTGCGTGCGTGTGCGTGCGTGTATGGTTCACTGTGCTCTAACTAGCAAGGTGAGCAACCTCTAAACGTTAACCGGTGTGAAATACGACCGTCCAGATCTTTAGAATTCATAGGTGTTCATAGTATTAGTTGAAGGCGCCTTAACAATTTGCAAATGGCCTACGGTGTCGGAAGAAAAACCCGCTTCTGCTGCGACCCCAGTGGAAACAGCCCGCGAGTCTATCGAATCGAATGGGCGACAATTATGGCTTTGCCGCGTTTTGACTGACAGCTTTTTTCTGCAAGATCGCGTGAGATTCCAGGCCACGATTGCGGAAAAACAAACCT